AGGTCACGATCTCACGGTTCTGGGTTTGAGCCCTGCGTCGGGCTCTGTGCTGACAGCTAGCTCAGAGCCTAGAGCCTGCTTCAGATTCTGCATCTCCCTCTCTCTCTGACCCTTCTCTGCTCATGCTGTCTCTCTCTCTCTCAGAAATAAATAAAACATTAAAAAAATTAAAAAAAATAAGAATGGAGTCAAGGAAAAAACAGTTGTTTATGTTTCATCTCATGCAATCTGAGCCAGATGCTTGGTGGGATTCTGTCATAGAAATCTAGACATGTGGTAACCCCTGACCATAAGCTAAGTCCAGGGTAAATACTGACTATGTGGATTAAAATGTAAAAAAAAATAAAAAAGTTGAAATAATGATGCACATGCCCTTGACATGTGTATAATGTAAATCAGTGATATTCAGATTACTGCTCTTGAGCCACATGGGGCCTTTTTGTGGGCAACCTGCTGCTCTCATAAGTCCTCAGATTTCTGTATTTCAATAACACACTATCCCAGACTCTGCGGGGCACGTAGCAGTCACGCGGCTCTATCGGGTAATGATGATTGCAAAAGTGGCTCCCGAGTCACATAACTGAATACCACTGGTGTAAATATTTAATCCTGCTTATCTATGTGGAAATTCAATGTTTCGGTTCCACCGTCTGTCTGTCTTTTATATGCTCATCCACATAAATGTCTGTCTTAGACTGCAAGCTTTAGAGGGCTGGGACTGCATTTAAATTGTCTTAATGATGTGAGACAGAGATTCCCATATGGGTAGATATTTAATAAATGCATTTTTTGATCTTGAGGAGGAAAAAGAAAGAAATTTCTGACTTCATCTCTTTCTCTATGGCTTCTCTCTAATGACTGGCCTTCTATTAGATTTGGCATTGAAGCTAGAAAATGGGCCTGGTCCCTTGGAGCAGCACATCTCTACTGATGACAGTAGATGGGCTCTGTGCAGCAGTGATAGCTTTCTAAGTGATGCCTTCAAAAGGGATGCTCATTGCTGCTTGGAGGGAGAGGGAAGGCCTCCACATTACCCTGGTCTTTACCCAAGAGGAGCAGGGCTTGGATGCCAAGACCCATGTGGCTGTCTGCTTTGGAAGTGACACAGAAGCCACAGAGCACAAGCCTGCCCCCTGCTTGCTTCTCCTCTTTTGGGCCCGGAAATAGCTCTTGAATGTGGTTTTCTCCGCCTAAGGCTGTCTGTAACCAATCACAGAGGTAACGCCTAGTACCGAAATGACTATAGATGGGACTATAATGCAAGGCTGGCCTTTAGGCACTAACCTCCTTAGGATCACATGCAGGCTGGATTACATGAGTCTCCTCTTCTCCCTTTTCTGGAAACCCTTAAATGGCTGACAGTTAGGTCATGCCAACAACAGAGGGTCTGCAAACAATGCTTGATACCATCTGTGAAGTAGCTAGACTCAAGAGACTCATGAAAGAAGACTCTGATTTGCCCTCAACCTATGACCCTCACCACTGCACCCACTTGCTCTTGCTGAGGCACTGGTGACCTCCACATTGTTAAGCCCAATGATCTGCTTTCGGTGCTCACTTTGCTTGACCTCTGAGCAGCATGGAGCCTCCTTCACTTTTTCTGCTGTATGTCTGGCTGTACCTTTCTAAGTCTCCCTTGGTTGTTCTTCCTCATCATCCCTGTCTCCAAACATCTCTGGGGCCCAGGTTCTTGGAATGCATCTCACTTCTGTCTATACCACACCCTAGTATGGCAGCCAGGCTAATGTTGACTCTGCAAATTATAATTCTGTCCCAGATTTATCCCAGTTGTTCACTCAACATCTCCACGTGGAAGTCTAACAGGCATTTCAAACTGAAAGGTTCATTATGGTTTTCCTGATACTCCTGCACTGACATCTTTTCCTCTCCCCATCTTCCCTTTATCAATAAATGAGGACTCCACTCTTACTATTTTGAGGACAACCACCTTGGAATCTCCCTGGCTTCTCTCTCTCTCAAACATCCCATATCTGATATGTCAGCAAATGCTGCCATTCTAGACTCTTGACTGCATCACATTATGCCACCAGGATAAGACAGCACTATCTTTTGAGGCTGTAGCCTCCTACCTGGCTCCCTGCTTCACCCTTACTCACCTTCATTTCATTCTGCACATGACAGCCAGGGGAATCCTGTTAAATACGTGTAGGTCTTGTCTTTCCTCAGCTTGAAACCACCTGATGCTTCTTCCTGGTTCCCCTCTAGTAAAAGTCCAAATTCTTACGATGATTTTCATGATCTATTCCTTGGTTAACCTTCAGCCTCATCTCTACCAATGTCCCTGTTATTCACTCCTCTCCAGTCACATTAGCCTCCTTTCTGTTCCTATGTCAGCCATCCTTCTGCTTCAAGGCCTTTCCATTGGCTGTTCCCTCTGCCTGGAAAGCTCTTTCCCCAAATATCTGTATGGTTCACTTCCTTACTGCCTTCAGGTCTTTATTCAAATGCTACCTTCTTGGTGAGGTATTTCTTGGCCACCTCACCTAGAGTTGCAACCTCTCAACACTTCTGTCTCCCTCTCACTCTTTTATCTTTCTAAACAGTACTTACCACTCTATGACATACTAGTTAATTTATATTACTAGTTAATTATATTACCACTAGAATATAATTTCCATGAAGGCAGGGAGTTTTGACTATTTTGTTCATTGCTATATCCCTAGTGCCTAACTCAGTTCTTGGCACAGAGTTGCCCTTAATTGATGGGTGGACAGATGGAGGGAGGGAAGAATGAATGAACTAGAATATATTTTGTATATAATTTCACTGGCAACATCATTTACTCTAGTTACTTAGAGAAATGCTACCCAACTATGCCCTTCCTGTTGTCTTCCCAACCTCTGTTCCTTCTACTTCCTCAGTGGTTTTGCAGATTTTCTTAGAAAAAATGAGTAATTGGACCCCCTCTAGGTAAGCCCAGCTACCACGGAATGTGCCATTGAACTGTCCCTGTGCTGGAGATAGCTCTGTCTCACAGGTGCCAACCACCAGTGGCATCTTGTAAGTGCTGACAGGGTTTCTGCCCGGAAGTTGCTAGAGCCATTGATGAAGAGTGATATATTTCTTTTCTCTTAAAAGACTACTTAATTTTTGAGCTGAAAAGAATTGGCAAATACACTAACCTGTAATCTTTTAACAATTTCAAAGGCTGGATGCTACTTTAATTGAAACACACATGTAATTTGTAGCAGCATTTCTCTCCTCCTATTTGTTTGGAAGGGCAAACTATGAAGAAGAGAATATAGTTACTAAGCCATAGACTTGCCTTTTCTGCAGATCTGTTAGATTGCCAATTTCTTAATAATTTAATCACATCAACTCTGCTTTTAATTGGACTTCCCCAATAGACAGTCCTTTGGCTCCGTTTTCTGGCTCCATTCCTAAGTCTCTCACATTCACTTCATTGCAAATGTCTATTTTACTCTCTATATCTTGCTTTTTTGATACTTATTCCCTGCCTCATCCCCCAGAATGGTTCTACCACCATCTCCACAACTGAATGAGCCAGGTTCCTATTCTGTCCTTCCAGGACAGGTTGGCTGAGGATGAGAAGCAGATCCAAAAGTCTCCTCCAGCCATGAGAAAAGAGGACAAGGTGAAAAGCACAACAGTCTCCAGTGTCTGATTTCATCCATGTTTGAGCTTATGAAAATTTGGCAGAGACCTTGTCCACTGGGGTAGGCAGTTCAGTATGCTCTTCCCAAAGCTTAGCCAGATTGTAGGTAGATGAGTCTCGTCAATGTGATCTGCTCCAGCAGCAAAGAATACTTCCTACTGGGAAATCCTTGGAACTTATGCCCACTTAATGTGCAAGGCAGGAAGCAGCATACTTCTTCATGGAAGCTCCTGCTTTAGCCAGAGAACAGGAGAACCAAATGTCTATGTGGATGGCAATTGATTTCTTAGCAACTAGTGTATATTGCACATTTTTAATAACATGGGAAAAAACCCATTAATGTTCATCAACATTAATCATGAGTTAGGTATTCCACCCTGACTCAAGGTGAAGAGAGGAGCCAAGATGTCATTTTCCTGTGTCTTTAAGGTAAGCTTCTTTGTCCCTTACAGGACAACTTATCTATTCACCAAACCATTCAGTCCACTAACTATTCAGCTACTCCACAGTACCACCAACAGTATAAAATTAGGTGCCAGGTATTTTTTCAGAAAGATCCTCAATGGCATAATGGCTCACTGTTACAGTCCATCAAAGGTGTTGCCTTCAAACTTGCCAAACTACTTAGTAGAGAATAAAGGTCTCTTTAGGTTGTTAATTTATGTTGTTACCAGTCCTTTGTTGTTTATGTGTTTTAATTTTGTATTTTCCCCTTGAGCAGAGTTATTAGAAAGGGAATAGTTGATAGATGATAGTTAAATCAGCCTCTGAAATGAGGGTGCAGACATTCTGTTCTTTGTTCACATCTTTGACTGTTTTCTTCTCTTTTCCCTGCACCTGCTCCTTCTCCCAGATTCCTGATTAGAACTTAGTTACTAATGAGTAGAAACATAAAGAAATCAACGGGGGAGGAGTTTGAACACAATGGACATAATTAATGCCTGTTCACAAGGACAAGAAACTAGATTCACATGTTAGACACACACACGTGTGTTAGGGTATATGTGTACACACGATTCCTACACCATAGGGATTTAAAAACTCTAATGGGAAGACTGTTATTTAACCCCTGCCCAAAGATACGGAGCCTGGAGGAGGATGTCCAATAAAAAAAAATGGTCCACCAAAATCTCAACTGTCTTTTAGACTCAGATTCTAAAAGGAATATGAGGTTTTACAGATCAACAGCTATTATTTCCCATCTGCGATTGATTTCTATGAGCAGAAATGATTGCAATCAGTGCTACAAATGTTGCTCCAGGTAGACAAACTATAAGGACAAGCTGGTGGTAGAAGGTTCACTGTTTTGGCCCCTATCTCCTCCCTCTCCCAGAACCCAGCCCAAGACAGGACAGCTGCTCACTGTTTCGGGGCTTCTCTTCATCCATGCCTTCGTCCTCATTCTCGGGGTCGATGTCCTCTGCCTGAGTGATCCAGTCCAGGTAGCCCTTCAGGTCCTCTTCCAGCTGCTGCTTCTCTCGCAGCTTCTGGAAATCTCCCCGAGCCTTGGCCTTCTCTCTCTCTTTGGAAAACTCTCTGGCAAGAGAGAGTGGAGTGGCAGAGCAGGGGAATGCACGGAGGAGGAGGGCCATGTGGGTGGGAAGGAGAGATGGAGATAAGAGGAAACAAAGGGATTAGTTTCTTCTCTTTGCACCAGGAGACCTGCCCACCTGCCCCTGCTTCCTACAGACAGCTTTCTCTCATCCCAGGCTTTGTCTTCACGCTCACATAAACAGAAAGTCACCGAAGCAGACATTCTTGACACAGGCCACCAGAGTACAAAGAAATGGATGAAGTCCATTTCCCTTATTTCCATTTCCCTTACTATTTGCCTTTTAATAGTGACTGTTCTCCAGTGGCCTGGAAACCCTTTTCAAACAGTCACTAAAAACCTCCACAATAGTTATGGACCATGCACTTTCATTCTCCCTTGGAATTGGGTGGCCACTGGAAAATCTTACAAGCATCTCCAGCTGACAAAGGCGTTAGGACCGGTGGTGTGCCGAAGCCCACTCACCCGCACTGGCTCCTGGGAGCCTACCGTGCACTGCTCTTTGCTGCTCTAGCTTCACTGATGTCTCCTTGTGGCTTGAAATTGGCCACGGTGGGAATATTTACACCATGGAAATTGGCAAAATGCTACAAACTAGGGATTTTTCTCCCCACAAAGAGCGGATTGGTAAATATTTACCAGCACACCACTGACTTAAGGCCCAGGAGATTTAACCTCCTCAAACTCTATTATTATTACTAGAGTTTGTTTTGCCACTTTTAACATGCCTGGAAGGATTTCTAATCTAGAGAAAGTTCTTCCCCACAAGGAGACAAATGAGGACTCCAGACACAAGAAAATGTCCTGGGGGCTGCCCCTTTGGTTAAAAAAGAAATCTATTCAGAATGGAAAAATATATAAAAGCAAGATGATATAAAAGTTAAATGATGCATTCAGTTTAAAGTAATAATGAGTAGAAATTGGAATTGGATTGGGATATGCTGGAAGAAGAGCCTACTGAAAAATTTCTGAGAAAATCGGTATTTCTTTCCTAGTTCCTGATTCTGTTCTTATTTTCTCTCTGACTTCAAATTCACTTTTTGGGCAAGGAAGGGGCTGGCAGCAGAAGGTAATATTCAAGAATGCTAGTTCTCAACTCTTAATGCCTTTTCTTCCAAAATAGGACTATAGGAGCATTTTGTTCTTTGATATTCAGTCTATGGAAAATGGGGCCCTTAGTGATGTATGTTTGTGTGTGTGTGTGTGAGAGAGAGAGAGAGAGACATGTACTGGGCATCTTGGTTAGTTCACAGAGACCTGATTCCTCCTTCTCTTACCAGTAAAGACCTAGTTCAGGCCAGGAGGCTGTAGCAATTACCTTGAAGGAATTTCTTGCACATACTACACTAAGGAAAGGCAACTTGGAGGGAAGGACACAGCAACAAATCACAGAGGGACAAAAGCTCAGCTCCTGAATCCATTCAGTCCTGTAGAGGTGCCTCTATCACCACTCCCACTATCTATCTAGTATTTGCATTTTGCTTGTGTGGCTTCAGAGAGCACAGATTTTTAGCAACCCTCATTTTTATGGTGAAAATGGGTTAGGACGGGGAGTGGTCTAGGGAATTTTTTAATTGGGAGATGTGGGGGCTCTCAAGCTAATGAGTTTTTTTGAACTGCTGTCTTAATGATGCTCTGCTTTGGATGGAATTTTCTTCTTAAATTTGATTGAAATCCAATTCTAATTGGATTGAACTTGCTCTTTCTCCGGCTTCTTGCCAACTGGCAGGTACCTTCATTTTCTTCCCAGGGAGTTTAATGCCAAGGAAAAGGAGCCAGATTGACAGCTCAAAATGAAGATGGAAGCTTTGCCTTGCTTTGTTCCCTCCCTCCTTTTGCTGTTGGGGATGAACATGGATAGGTCCCCTATATCTGGGCATACCACCTGGGCTATAAGCTTGTTCTCTGAAGATAACCACCTCATATGGTAGTTCCTTCCCCATGCAAATCCACTCCGATAGCTGTGCTTCCAGGACCCTTCTCTGGATTATCATTCTGCCCTTACACACGTGTATTCTCCATTCCTTTTCTGTGTAGTGGGTGTGGGGTTATAAGGTGACTGAATAGCTGTGGGTTCACTTTAGCTCTTTTGGATTATTTTCCAGAGGGCTCAAGTTATAGTACAAGACAACTACGCACCCTTCTGGAATCAGGAGAATCGGGTTGGGATCAAACTGGAGTAGGGACAATTAATCCAGTCCTATGTTATGGCATTTTCCCCATGGAAGAAAAGCTCACCATTCATACCCCAAGTCTCTGAGGAACTAACATAAACATCCATGAGGTTGTGTTGGGGGTGTGAAGGGAATGGAGAAGGGAATTGGATCTGAAGCCCTGCTGGCTCCCCTTGGCTCCTATAGAGTGAGGGGTATAACTAGGCTTGTGGCTGGATGGAAGGTGAGCCAAAGTTTCTCTCTCCAGACTCCATGCAGAAAGGGATTTTCTGGTTCTTTTTATCTCCTCACCTGGATGCCAGCCATGTGCCTGCTCTGGGGACTGAGCTAATGAAGATGTGAAGCCCCGGCCTGATAGGCTGTGCTGGGCCCAGGGACCAGAGATGGCCAGAAAATCAGTCATAGCCATGGCATTTGTCATAAGGCAGGAGCATAGCTCTTGCCAGCAATGGCCAACGTGAAAAATGAAAACACTGGAGCCAGTGTTCAGTAATGTAAAGCATGCAGGGGGAGATGCATGTGAAAAATCCAATCAATGCAGAAGGCTTGGTGGGGTTCTAGGCCCTCTGATGTTCAATATAGTTGATTCTCCTTATTTACAGATTCCATATTTGCGAATTTGTTTACTCGCTAAAATTTATTTGTAACCCCCAAATTGATACTTGTGCACCTTTGTGGTCATATGCAGATATGTGTGCAGCATGGGGTAAAATGAATCACATTCCCAGCCAAGGTTAAGCAAGGCAAAACTCTGTCTTCGTTTCACCTCTTATACTGTAAACAAGTATACTTTTTATGGTCTCTTTAGTGCCATGTTTTTCATATTTCTGCACTTTTTGTTGGTGGTTTTTCTGTTAAAAATAGCCCCCAAAGACAGTGCTGAAGTGCTGTCTAGTGTTCCTTAGTGCAAGAAGGCTGTGATGTGCTTTAAGGAAAAAGTACATGTATTAGATAAATTCCATTCAGGCATCAGTGATAGTGCCATGAGCACAACATTGATGAATCAACAATGTATATTAAATAAGATGCCTTTCAACAGAAACACACATAAAATAAGGTTGTGTATTGGCTGGTTGACAAAAATCTTGTGACTAGAGAATCACAGGATCCTAGCCCTGTCTTCCTTCTAAGAGTAATGGTTTAGTATTCATTAACTCAGTGTTCATGGTGGCCTCATAAAATGTAACGACACAGAAGATGAAAATGACTATAGATGTTGCTGTCTCTTCTGCTTTCACCCACAAAGAATGCATGTCCTGGTATTTCTCTTGCTTCTTTCTGGGCCTAGACATTGTGTCTTAACTATGTGACATGGGCCAGGTATGCTATCAGGTTGCAAAATGCCTGTCCACCAGCCCTGCTATTTTGGGGAGACATACCCATTTCCCAGTGGGAAAGCGGGCAGGATGGCTCTCCATCTAAGAGATCCTGAGTTCTCTGTCTACTGAAGGCACATGTCTGAAATCCTCTGTTTGCAACAACTTAAAACAAAGAGTGTCCAGATTCCAGAGTCCAGGAACTTCTACCTGACTACAACTTAAGTACCATGTCGGGAATCTCACTGTCACTGCTTTAATTTTAGTAGTCTGGAGACAGATATTTCTGGAGAGAAAAGCAAATATTATCCAATTCTTGTCAGTGGTAATACCAGTCTTGTAAGCTTGTGAGGATCAATACATAATGAACACGAAACCATTTTGGAAGAAAAATCCATGAGATATATATTCTTTACACTGACTCCATCTGGCCTCATAAGGAATAAGATGCTCTGCATATGTGAACGTTCTAGATAAAGGATGCCTAACCCTCTGGTGACCAAAATTTCAGAATTTCTATTTTTTACTTTATAGAGTGTCATATTTTCTTCCTTCATGAACAGAACACTCCAAGCACAATTTAACCTTTTTTATTTTGGTGACTGAAGGACATAATTTATGAAGATGAGTTACTGTGTTGGACTGTAAAATAATATCCTTAACTTATGGGTGTAGGGTCTCAGATCCCTGCAGTTCCGAAATGCTCCAAGGCTATAGTCGTAGTGAGTTAGGGGCTCTGTTCTCTCTCAAAGACTGTTAAGATTTGTAGGACTGCCAGCCCCTGTGCTAAACTTAGCCTCCTGAGTGGTGGCCCTGCAGCTTCTTGTTGGGGTTCTTTCTGTTCCCAGTGGCTGTTTCCAGCAGCCAGCCATGGGTTGGTTCTGCTTCCTCTCTGATCTTCTCATCCCTCCTCACTGCACTTCCTGCTCTTCACCTCTTCACTTCTTGACTCTAATTTAGGAACATGGGATTAGCTGGTTAACTGGGTTTGGGGACAGAATAACATGGAGGATAGGGGTAGAGGCTATGGATTCACATTGGCTGGGTTTAACCATGGATCCTCCATTTTTACCTGTAAGAATTGAGGTAGTTTCCTCATCTGAGCCCCAATTTTATTCTCTATAGAATGGAGATATAAATAGCATCTAGTTCATAGGGTTGTTGTGAGCATTCAATGAATTACACACCTACAGCTCCATGCATAGAGCCTGCCATGGAGAATGATGGTTACTGTTCATGTTATCATTGGGACAATGAATTTTGTGGAGCTCTGAGAGCTTTTTGGACACTTTTGGAAGGCTGACTTAATCAGAAGTCTGACTGATGAATAAGTGAGATTTTTGTTGTATTCTTGTGGTGACTTTTATATTATTGTCCTGCTTGATCAAGATGGTGACTCAAAACTGAAACCACTGTCACCATGTGGTCTGCCAATAAGAGCCTGGTTCCAGGTTTTGTCACTGCATGGACTCAGGGCAGCCCATTCAGAATGGCCATCCCTGTTGACTGATTAGGAGGCCTCCTTAAACTAAGAAGGGGAGATATCTGCCCACAGACACTTCTTTGATTGGGCAGAGGATGTGCCCAGAGGCCCAGGAAGGCTTGGGAAATGTTCCCTCAGCAATTCTGGAACTGTGAGGAGTAGACTCCGCTCTGGGTCAGGGAGCAGGTGTTGGGGAAGGTATTCTGCAGAGATCAATTTACAGACTCCAGAGTTCAGTTCCAAAGTCTGAAAGCCTTAGTGTTCCTATTCAGAATCAACTCACGTTTGAAGTATTACTATGTGCCAGGTTCTGGGCTAGATATTTTTACACACACTCAATGGGACTGAGTTGGGTCAAGACATGGTCTTCAAAACAACTTTTCTCTCACATCAGCAACTGTTGCCATTTGATTCCTCTGCTTTGATACCACTAGGAAGACAGCTTTCTGGGGGGTGGGGCAAGAATGACTGTGAGTAGATGCTCTGCTCAAGGAGGGGCCTTTATGGGCTAGTGCTTATTCTCTACTTTGGATTCCTGGGGAGGATTCCACTTGCTTAGAATTGATCCTAATCTCTGGGGTAAGAAAGTGGAATAACATTTTTTTTTTTTTAAAGGATCAGAGCTCTGGCTTGTGTTACAGCTTAAGTTCATTCAGTGTATATCCCACAGACAGTGATGGGGAGATGGGGTCCAGGCTGTGCCTGAGTGCTGGCACAATGATGTCACACAGGTCACTTACCTCTGGGCTCACTTTCCTTATCTTTAAAAGGTTGATGATTCTATTCAATAATTCCAGTTATGATAGGCACCAAGTAAACAATAATCATTGTCATGACAGCACCATTATTGAGCACTTACTATACACTGAGTATTTTACACAAATGGTCTCACTCTATCATCACAACAACCTATGAGTTGGTATTATTATCTTCATTTGTTCAGACTGTTTAAAAGAGTGAAGTTGCCCAACATTATGCATCTAACAAGTGTGGAGCTGGGATATCCAAATGTGTCTTGGGTAGGAGTGTTGAAGTTGGATTTTTTAATGCTTTCCTTGGTGATTCACATATAAACACAGGGGCATTTTCTTGTGTTGGAACACAAAAATAAAGATCTTTCCACCTTCCAGGCAGCTAATTAGGGGCATATGCTGTTCTGTTCATTATTTTTATCCTTGATGGAAGACACTACTTTCCTGTGTGGCCTTACCTTGGCAAAAGGCATGGTGTCATCAAAGTCTCTAAAGGCCATCACCATGGCAAGAAGTGAGGGTAGAAGCAGATTCTTTCTTTCACCAAATCCCAAAAATTAAACTTGATACTCCTGCAATGCATTAGGCTATGGCAGGAGACAGAAGTAGCTATTCCCAGTTTATATACTTAGTAAAAATGAAATGCAATTGTTCCCATCATGCCTGACTTTGTCCCAGCATTAATGTCCCTGGAGACATAGGAAAGGCTATTTGAAGCAGCTGACCTGTCTTGAGCAGGGCAGAAATAGATTGTCCCCCGCCCCCATGTAGCAAAGGCAGCAGAGTGGGTCACCCACGAGCAGGTCACCAGGAGCATTTAGGTGTTAGGCCTTGGCATGGCTGGCATGGACTTGTGAAGAAGAAGGTAGGCTGAAGAAATGTCCTGTGAGTCTCTGTGGTATCAAGGGGGTGATCCTCAGGGTGCTTCAACCATATGCTATTTCTACCACTTTTTAACTTCATCAGAGGAAAGGCCAATATTAGGCAGACTTTATACTTGTAGCCAAGTAGGTAAATTTAAGGGAAAGTATATTCCAATTCTTCTATTATCAAATAACCTATGGCTTTGAACAGCTAACTGCCCTTTCCATCCAGAAAAGGACATACAAGACATGGACTGCTGTGTCTATGAATTAGAATCAAAGGGAATTTTATTTTGAGTCTGCATTTGCTTATTTATATTCTATTTAAAATGGTTTATTTATTTATTTATTTATTTATTTTTCAACTCTTATTACCCCAGTCCATTCAACACTGAATAAGAGCTATCTGAAATCTTTACTGTTAGCCAGTCCCAAACTGTAATCAGGCAAGTACCTATTTGCAAGGCTGCTGCATGTGTTAACAGCACAGTCTGTGAATCTTCCCTGCAATCCCTGCTTCCAAACCCTTTTGACTTGAGGGTCTCACCATGCAACTCCTAAGGTAGAAGGAGAAGCATCCTGCCTACTTGAATAGCCACCTGAGGGTAGGAGGGTGGTGGGTGAGCTGGCAGGAGACAGGTGAGTCTAGATATCTCCTCATGAAGCCCAAACCAACAGATTAATCCTTGTACATTTGATCCTCTGTCCAGCCAGGCCAAGGACATTCACTTTAAGGCTCCTGAGGTGGCCTTATCCCAGGTTCATCAGAGCCAGAAAAAAGAATAAAGCCAGGAATAGCAGAAAGAGTAAATAAAATAAATAAAATCAAGACCTTTTTCCTTGGTCCTGCTTACCCGCTAAGAACACCGAGAACCAAGTTAAGTACAAAAAATGACCCTATGATGATTAGTGTAACAAAATAGATCCAGGGCCAGTCCCTTCCTACGGCATCATTGACCTGGAAGAATGGAATGATAGTTAGTGAGGCACACTCAGCAGCCGAGCATGGCCAAGTGCCCATCACCGGCTCCTGGACACTGACCCAAGCAGTGCCGGGACCTAGGGATCCTCTAGGTACAAATTGGAGGCCAAATAGCCTGCCCAGCCAATGGGTCAGAATCTGTGGTTGAATAGGGACTGTTTTTCCCCTGGTTTTCCTGGCCTGTTAGGATCCCATCCCTGAGGACCCTGGTGATGGATATAGTGGGACCTGGGACCTTGCTCGGCTGCATTGTAAAGAGTACATAGAAACGGTAAGCTTACCCGCTCAACACACCGAGAACCAGATTTAGAACGAAAAAGGATCCAAAGATGACCAGACTGACAAAATACACCCAGGGTAACTCATAGCCCATAGCGTCCTGCATCTGGAAAGATGAAGAGCAGAATGAGAGCAGGAAAAGAGCAGGAAAGAGAGAGCAGAATGAGTTAAAGTGAGGAGGCAGGCAGGAAGGGTATGGACAGAACTGGAGACAAGTGAGGTTGAACCAGGGTCCATGGTTACCACTGTTACCCTTGATGTTCAAGATGCTTCCCTATGACCCTGACCTGACCTATAAAGGACCTTTGCAGGCTCTGCCTCAAGAGGAGGCTTTTCTGGCTCTTTTGTTTTATTTTCTGGAACAGAAAGCTTCCTTCGATGTTTTCACTTGTCTAAGAAGGTGCGCCACCTAAAAAAATGATTTCTTCAGTGTAGGATAGTTTAGCTCAGTTGGGTTTATGTGGCATTAAATCTTCATTGCACCCTGGGGGCACCCTAACCTTGGTGTCAGGAGTGCCTCAGCTCTTACTGATGCAGCCAGAGATCCAGAACCTTCAAGGATGTGAGGAAGGAGAGACCATCCTAAGGGGCTTTCCTGAGCTGGGCCCAGGATTTAGAGGCAAAAGTCCAGTGCTTCACAAGCACTATGGGCCATGGCCCAGGAAAGACAGTCATTTTCGTTACATACCCAGAGAACAGTTCTAGTCCTGCAACCATATTTCCTAGATGAAACAGCGTATAGCCTGGAGACTGTGACCACACCTAACAAGGGTCATGGAAACATTCTGAAAGGCTGCAAACCCCTGGAGTAGCTGGAGGCAGTCATGTGCTGGAATTGGTTCGCTTGGCTTTGGAGAGCCACTGTGTCTCTTCCCAGTTCCACATTCAGTGATGTCACTATGGTAGCCTGAAGCTGGCCATGGTGGGCAGAAATGTGCAAATGACACAGATCAGTCCCCCCTCCCCTTTGCTCTGAAGAATCGTTGGTTAAACACTTACCAGCATCACTGACTGGAGGGTAGATGTGAACATGACACAAAGTCACAGAGCAGTATCTTTACCAAACAGGAAGTTTATTCTGATTTAGTTTCTCAAATCTACGTCTTTTGATGCTTTCTGGCTAGACCAATCAGGATTTAGTCTTATCTTCCCAAAATGAACTCCAACTTTGTCCTTGCGAAATTACCTTACAGGAATCCAAATTCCTAATATATAAGCTTCCTGAATAATTACCTTAGTGGACCTCAGAGTGTGGCACTCACCTGCTTAGAAATGGACATACTCGGGCTCCTTCCTGAAACTCTGCAGGTGGACTCAACAAGCCATGTTTCAAAAAGCCCTGCAGTGAGTCTAATGTATACTAAAGTTTGAGAACCACTGATTTACACCATTCTCCATAACTCCCAACTTCAAAACTAAGGACACGAAAAGTACTGTCTCTCCTTTGTTGTATGGCAAGGCTCCTGAAAGTGGGGTCTGAAGACCACCAGTGTCAGAATCGTCTAGAAGAATTGTTACCATCTTAGATCCCTGGGCCATTCCCCCCAAATCAGTGTACCTCTCAAGTCTGAATGTTAATCACCCAGGTGAATCGAAAGCCAGGTGACACAAATGAGTTACACGTGTGCTGGGATAGTACTGCCCTCAGCCCTCAGGGCTTCTCAGGCTCCAAGAAACCTTATCCATGTGCCTAATCATGCTGGACAAATAGTATGTTCTCTGTGTGCTGTGAGTGAAAAAGATTGAGAAGTACTGAAAGACCTACCTAACTGGACTGGTTTGAAGTGTTGTATTCCTATATGTTCTTTTCAAATCTAATACTATGTATCTGGGGTTATTATATTTTTGTTAGAGGAATATACCAAATGTAGCCATAGTGGAGAGTTACAAAAATTGTGTTAAGGGTTTGGGGATCATTGGTTTGAACTGAGTCACTCACTCAGCAAAAGAAGAGTTCCCAACATACGTTCCCCAACTGTGTCATAATTCGATTCAACATGAATTTATTGAGCATTCCCAAATACTCTGCTGTTTTTCACATAGTGCTTATCACTTTCTAACTTTATAATTTATTCATTTATTATGTGTGTGTCTTCCATGTGGAATGTAAGCTCCATGAGGACAGGCAGTTCTGGTTTGGTTTGTTCACTGGTGCTGAAAACATTGCCTTGCACATACAGGTACTCAGTAAATGTTGAGTGAATCAATGAACTTTATATGTGCCAGGCACTGTGCTGTATATAGGAAGCCCTTGCTAGTATGGGGGACAGATAAATAAAAGGCAACTACAATGGGAGGTGGTAAATGAAGTTGTAGGAATAAACAGGCAGGGTTATAGAAGCTCAAGGGGATGAAGGGCTGTATGAGTCTTGGAAAAGCAAGCAAGGGCTTGACCAGGCAGGAGTGGGTAAACCTTGCACTATGGGATCACTGAAGGCAGAAGGAGTCCAGGAGCAGGAAGGAAGCCCATAGGCCATGTGATCTTATGACAGGATAGTGCATTTCCTAGGAACTTGGAAATTATTAAAAATAGAGCCCACAGTTGAAAAGCCATCCAGGCTCTGGGATGGAGGCTTTCCCCCAGTGGCTGGATACTAAAGTATCCAGCAAAACAGCACCTGTTACAAGAGACAGGGTAGAAAGGTCTGTGTGTATCAGACTCTGCCCTCTTCACAAGGAGCCGGGGATCCTCCTTTAATCAGAGAGTAACCAGCAGAGGAAAGACCAATAGCCACCTTCACTCCCAGGAGGAGAAAAAGAAAATGTCAGCCATACAGGAAGAGTCAGGACTGGTGAAATGAAGTTAGGGAGGGGAAAGACATAGGTACCATAGTGAGCTAGGCAATCACAGGCCACATAATGATTGTAAGGATGGCCATGTGATCCCAGGGTCTGTATGTCACATTTTATTATGGGGAACTGTGAAATAAGCCATTCCCTATTCTTAGCAGTGGTCTCCTTAGAGTCCACATTGGCTCAACAGTATTTCAGTATTTCCTGAGTGCCTACTATGTGTAAGATACTACATTCTGTCTTAGTGAAAGTGGCGGGGTTGAAAACAGCCCTGAGATAGGAGAAAGCATCTGACAGGAGGTATTTATGGAAACTGGATCCAAGGCCTTGAAGCCTTCAGGTGTCCTAGCTCTTCCTCTCAGATTAAGTCCTGCCAATGAAAGTCAGAGTTCCTTCCTATTCTCTGCGTTAGCAATGGTGGGCAAGTCAGGAAGCTGACAGAAGCTGTGGATCCACCTGAGAAAAACACTCATGGTGTTTTGCATACAACCCATGGGTACATGGACCCCAGGTTTCTGACCAACCAGTTACTCTGTGCTAATCCTAGAAGAGCTTTCCCCAAGAGGGCCTGTTCTGAGTGAGTTCACCTGCTTCACCAAGGATCTCAGACCTCCTCACCTTCCTTAGGACAGTGAGGAACAGGTAGTTCCAGAAGGCAATGGCATGTTTGCTGCAGTTCACACTCTCAGAACTGCCTCTGGAGCCCAGGCATATGGTGAGTGGGAGGGAGGACTAGTTGGCACTGAACCAACCTCCTTGGAATTAAATCTCTCCTGACTGGTTTCTCATACCCCTAAATTTGTGAACACTTAACCTCACAGAAAACACAGTTCCCCAGGCCACATATCTCTCACACGTTAACAAACTCTTGAACTCTGGAAACTTCCTTGGTCCCATCCTTTCCTTTGTGTCCCAAGGGGAGTGACTTCGAGCATCATTAAGGACCTCGAATAGATGGAGCTACAGACCATGTTGCCCACAAATAGCCCATAGAGAGCCTTATGATAATCTTATGACTCATGGATAACCTCATGACCCACAGATATCTCAATGATATCCTCATGACCCATAGATTTCTCACTGATATCCTATAACCTCAGGAGTCATAGATATCCTCATAACAACCTCATAACCCATAGATATCCCACTGATGTCCCTATGATAACCTCATGACCCATAGATATTTTCATGACCTATAGATATCCCATAGAGAGCCAGGACTATATTCAGGAGACTCATGATCTCCACTTATTTTTTGTCCTATGCTTTTGCTTTGGTCTCTCCCTCTTTCAAAGGCTTAAGTTGCAGAATAGCAGGTGAGGGGCAGGAGGTAGGAGGACAGGTGAGGAGATTAACAAGCTTCCAAGGTGTTCCTAAGACCCCATCACTTCCTCAGCAAGCAATGCTCAGCAGCCACCAGCAGGTGATTCTCTGGTCTATGTGGCTCTGGCCTGAGAGGAGAGCACCCCTTTTGTCTTCTCTTTTACTTTCTCTTCTTTATTCTAGGCCACCTACTTTTGGGGGCAGACTGGGTAGAGAGCATACAGTGCTGGGTGGCTCTGAAGTAGGGCAATGCCTGGAGTGATGAGATTGATGTCTTAAATCAGCTGGAATGGAGCTATTAAGAAGAGAGAATAAATAAAGACATATTTCAAAAAAATGACCCAGATTGCTGACACCCTTATTTAGAGGTGAAACAGGATGGGTTTTCTCAAACCATTAAAGCTATATGTTTCTTAGGCCTATAACAAAGGAAGCTTTGTGACTTTCATAAGGAAGGCACAAATTTAGGCACCTTGATGTCCACCATAAGCAACCATTGTGGCCTCAAGGCCCAAGGACTATGAGGATGACATCAGGCTTTGCTGAAACACACCCCTTATTAAAATAATTCCCAGAATCCA